CCAAACAAACATACATCTATATCTAGGCTCCTCTCCTCTACTGTCTTACCACTCCCTTGTATTTGGCAAGATTTCTGTAGCAAAATAAGCCACAATTGTGTATATGCCTCTGTGTGTGTACATATATATTGGAAAGACTCTGATCTCTCCCATCAAAGTCTTCTTTCTAAGGTTTCTCAAACAGGTAAATCTACCCTGATTTTTGGCATTCTCACATGGCTAACAAGGCAGAAGACTGTCAGAGATATCTTTCAGAACAGTTTTAAAGGTGACGTTCCTTGTTTGTATCATAAAGGCAAATTAAATTTTATGCTGTGGTTAAGACTGACTAAATAACCCCAAGCGTCAACCGCAGTCTAAAATAAAAGCTTTCTACAAGTAAAATGGCAGATCTCGATCTCTCCTTTCAAAAATTTTGTGATTGTGTCAGCATCAAAGCAACTGACAGCTGAAACAGGCCACTGCTTTTGCTGATGGTATTAGTCCTTCAGCAATAGCATTTCACATTGGTAACTTAATCTGCCTTGAAAGAATAAATCCAGAAAGATCACATCTGTCTCAAAAGCAATGTCAGACTGCAAACCAGCAGAAATCACCTGCTGTTCTCTGGCAAATATTTCACATAAAGACAGAGGAGCATCCTTTTCTCCTCAGCGCTACCCACTGTCACCAAATGATTCAGACACACCATTCCTACCTCTAAGTCTCCTTGGAAAGACTTCACCATTGATTCAGTAACAAACCCCAGTCAGCTTCCAGTTACCGTTTTTCAATATTTATGTACCTGGAGCAAGATTCTCTTGCTGATAAGAACAGGCAGGCTGAAAGCCAAGCGAAATTTTGAATGCACCTGATTTTAACTGGAAATATCCCTTCTGGACTGCCATCTTCTCCATCCTACCCCTCTAGTTTGTTCAACTGATGCATCTTCTCCATGGAAAAACACTAAGATGCCTTGAGCTACAATCATCTTACAGTGGTATTTTTCAATATGTATTTTGTAATGATTAAATAATGACTAATGGTAGAAACAATACTGCCTGTCTGAACCACTGCTGAACAGTTTATCTATGTGGGTATCTAAAGATTAAGAATTTCCATTAGTTTAAATCTGCAAGGAGGCTGTGCTTTCTACCAATACAAAAGCTTTTCCCCGCCTTGAGTCACATGTGATCATTCTTTCTCCTGCTGCCTGAGTAAGAATTCCAGTTATAGGTTAAGCTGAATGACAAGTGGAATAATTGGAGGAGACCGCATGTAAATCATGGAGCCACTGGTGCTGAGATATCTTCTGAAAGCCTGAAGAGGTTCATAGGTGATAACTGAGCAAGATTAGACAAGATGAACCAGAAGGAAGACAGAAGAAAATAGTTCTGAGATCCTCTTCTCTACATACTGCCAATGCTATTTCAACATAGTTTAGCTTTTTACGTAAGATCAGAGTCTTCAGGGAAGAACATGTCAACACATAGCTACACATCTAAAGGAAAAAATCACTGTTAAGTCAGCCACCACTGGATTAAAAAAAATACTAGAAAAAGGACTGACAAAGAAAATCTTTAATGCTGCTATCATGAAAGATAGATGGTGAATCTTGGATAAGCTAGAAATATTATACAAATCATGATATTTCTCTAGGTTTTGTTCATGGCACTTCAATGCCCTGATTCAATTCTCCATACAGTTCTGCCAGCCAATTTTATTTTAAAGGTGGTGAGAAGTCCAAAAATACCATTGTCTCCTGTGGCAACCTTAAAAAAAAAAATTGTACCAGGGAGAGGATGATCAGAGCAAACATGCAGTGTGACTTCCTCAACTTTCAGCTGCTTTCAATTCATAGGACTTCTTGAATTTGATGCAGCTTGTTTAGGAACCCTCCACAGATCTCTCATCCACTATCTTGTGTAACCTGTCCTTGAGCCCCCAAACTTTCCATCCATGACTGCCTTAAGCAAGGAGTTCCAGAGCCCTACTAGTAATTCTTTTAAAGGTTATTTCACTGTCTTCCACAGTTTTAGTAGTTTTCTTTGGGAATCTACTTGTAAACTCCCTATGTGGCAAGAAGGGGCTGCTGCTTTCTGCTCTCCTTGCTGACATAGTTTGTTTCACATCCACGTGCTGTCAAGAAGACCCTGTATTATTTGAAGCTTGACTTTACTTTAACATCCACTCTTAACCAGAAATAGTATTGTATTACAGCTTTCAGTTGAACCCTGCTCATTTTTGAACCACATGTTCTAGGTATCACTTTCTTGCTATTGAATTTAATTTCATTAGTGCTAGACACATCCAGCTTCTGGCTATTCCACTGCTATAAATCAGTTCCCAATCTCAAAACCAAACTCCCTAAAAATATCTGAGTACCAAACAACTCGGTATAACAAACACCAGTATGTTTTTCCCACAGACTGGCAACCTGTATTTGGTGTTTTCCTACCAATTTTCTGATACACAGCTATCCTGGAATGTACCTATCGAGGTCAGTTTCCTGGCAAAAAAAAAAGATTCTCCAAGAAACTTGGACACTTGTAACTTCAGTTATGTATTTATTTATTTATTATTTACTAAAACTTAGAGGAAGGTGATAAATATAATTTGTTTTGGCTAATCAAGATCTCAAATTTAGTCATTGTGAAGTTTTATTTTTATAAATTACCATTTCAGAAAGCTTTCATGATTAAAAGATCGGGGTTTTGTATTTTTAACTCTGTTTACTGATGGACAAGGCTATGCAGGTTGAAAGATAATAGTAGGAGACTGGAGGAGAGCAGCTTGGGCCTTGCCAAATTCCCACCTATGTTAGTCTGCCTTACTGAGACAAAAAAAAGCCATAGCATCCCCCAACTCATCAAAAATACCTATCAACGTGTCTATGTTGTAATTTTAACATATAAGATAAAAAAAATGCATTTAAATAAAGCCTATCTTTAACACAATTTACAAGAAGAACATGAGTCGGTTTTGTATCATAGTAATCCACATTGTACTGAGAATCTCCGTATTCATCTGGAAGAGACTCTGGAGTGTCCACCTTAAAATACATGGTATTCCTAAGGAAAGAGAAACCCTTGTGCTGTGTGTGTCACAAGCCACTTGGGCTGATTAGCCTAACAAGCACAGATTTTCTTTGGCTTCAGGGAATAAATTATTTGCAATTTAAGGGTTATTCCTGATCTATACTTGTTCAACCACCTTATCAGCCATTTCCCCTGGCTGGGAAGCCAAGCCTCCCTGCAGGGAGAGCCTTGCCATCATTGCCCACACTTCTTCGATCAAGGCCATTAAAACGCACTCTGCAGAGCAGGACCTCAGCTCAGCACAAAGTGCTGGTGCAAGAAGTCATTTTACTGAGAACTTGTGACATCAGTTCCCCATGTGACCAGGGTTAAGCACTCCCACCCTGAGAAGACTTTCTTTCATTCAATTACTTTAGGATATTATCAGCAGAACTGCTGCAGCTGGATCCTCCTTTTAGGATAGAGAAGAGCTGCTGACCGAAGTCCAGATCTCTGCAAATCCAGCTACTTTTGATCAAGGAGGAAACAACACTCTCAGAAGGTCTTCCAAAATGCACCTATTTGATAGCAGTTTAGGAGTGAGCTGGAGTATGTGTCCCAAAGCTACAAAGAAATGCAAAGACCTGTCTTGCCTAGCTAAACTTCAACTTTGGGATAATTATTTTAATGCTGTTGGAATTTTACTGTAACATACATGTGTTCAGGTATCCAGAGATTTACATAAGCTATTTTTTATTGCTCCAATTGAAACACAATACAGGATTTTAAACCTAATTATCGCAAGCACCATTAGTATTTTGATCTCCTTAGCGTTCCTGTTGGCATGGAACTTAACCCTGCCTGAAAGCTTCTAATTAAGAAGATGGTGCTGCTGTTTACACTTCCAAATAGTGGCTAAAAGAGAACACCACAACCACTGCTCTAACTGGCTACCTTTTGTTCCTTCAACTCTTCTCCATTTCGATACACTAACACTTTCTAACAATTTCAGGCAAGCAGTGTTCATCTGAAGATTTAAGGCATGATATTTTTTTCATCCAGAGAACCCGTGCCAACACTTCTTACTAACTGGTTTATTCCAAATAACCAATCCCTCTTAAAGGATGATCAGGTCCAAAAGTAATGGATTTTACTCCAATGAGCTTTTACATGAACAGTTCCATTAAACAGGATTACTCATTAGTATAACAATACATTAAATGAGATCATCATGTTAATTTACTATTCATTTTTTCCTGTATTCATATACAGGAAATTATTCCTTCAGTTCAAAAACACAAGGTGTTATAGTGGTAAAAAGTATCAAACATGGAAGTCTTCTAAAACTGAAACATTTCTACTGTTTCAACAGCTTTACAGTTTGGAGACAATACTGGGCAGTTTTTGGAGCCTAAACGTTGATATTTCTATAACAAAAAGTACTGTCCACGAGGAAAAATTAAACTTTGACTTTAAAATCAATTTTTTTACCCTAAGTTGTATATTCACATAAATCCTTGACATTTAGGTAGCTGGTTATTACTAATGTTCATTTGTCAGGCAATCATCTCTTCAGCTTGGAGGCATTTAATTCAAAATGGGCCTGAGTTATGTGATCATTATACACGTGAGAAAACATCTGGCAAATTTCACTCAGTATCACCAAACAATGTAAACATTTACTGCCTCACACTAACCTGAGGAAGAGTTTTTTATATCCGACTTCCTCAAACACAAAATTTTTGAAGTTTCAGAGAATACTCAAAGTGGTTCTCAAGTATAAAAATGGAACAAAATGAGACCTTACATCCAACTTCACTTTTAATACCTTCGCAACAAAAAATTCTGCTCTGCCTCAAACTGAGGCTCAAAGCCCGCAGACACGAAGAACAAACCTGCTAAAAAAACGAAGTACAGACCCCGCAAGTAGAACCAAATCCCCGGAGAAGTGGTTAACATCTTCACATGGCGTACAAGACGGAGAACCAGATCGACAATCCTTACCTTAATTTGTTGTCTGGCCTGGACACTAACGCTCTGCTGCTACAGCACAAAGTTCCCATGCAGTTTTGCTTTCTTTAACCGAAGATAAACAGCTCGACCTCCTCCAGCTCAAAGTTAAAGGCTGAGGTTGCCTACGTTTCATTGTGTGCCAAAGTACATCTGACAGAACGCGACGTGAACAGCGGGCTCTGGGTGACGAAAGCAGAGTCTCGGTGTCATTAAAGCGAAATCACCACAGCGAGCACAACACCCCCTCGGTACAAACCTGAGCAGCTACACTGGATACTCCACCATCATTATTATCATTATCATTATTATTATTTTCCACCGTTACTATCCTTCTTTTTTTTCGCTGCTGTCACTGAACAACCACACACCGGGTACTTTTGCTCCCTCCCCTTTCCGGAGACGCAGAACCTCGAGACACACAACCTCGAGCCGCCAAGACCTTCGGGGCTCGCAACAGCCGCTCCTGCAGGTGCGGGTCGGCCCCACACGCACCCAATTTAAAGGACGCGCAAACCTCCGCAGGGCCGGCACCGGGGGCACATCCAGCGGGCCGGGACACCCAGCGGGCCGGGGGCGAGCGCTGCGGCCGCGGGGACGCGCAGGGGGGGACGCGCAGCGGGATAACGCGCAGGGGGGGCCGCCCCGCCCGCCCTTCCCCAGCCCCCCGCGGCCGCCGCTGCCGCAGCATCCCTGGCCCGGCCGCGACCCCCGCACCGCAGCAGGGGCAGTGGCCGCGCCCCGCAGGCCAACAACCCCCGGCGAGGGGCCAGCCCCGCACTCACCGCCACTCACCGCCGCCTCCTCGGGCAGGGCCGCTCCGCGCCCCGGTGCCGCCGGCCCCGCCCGGCCCGGCCCGCGCAGGGAGGGGCGCGGAGAGGCGGGCACACGCAGCCGCCCCTCGGCCCGCCCTGACGTCAGCGCGGCCGCCCCGCCCTGCCCGTGGCCCCGGAGCCCCTCAGCCCGCCCGGCACCGGCCGATCGCTCTCTGCGATCCGCGTCTGCCATCCCCGTGTGCGATCACTGTGTGTGATCCCCTGTGCCCCCCCCCCCCCCCCCGTGTGCCAGCCCGCCCCGGCGATCCCCGAGCCCGCCGGCACAGCCGAGGGCAAGCGAGCGGCCCTGCGGGTGTGCCGGCCCTGTGGCATCGTCGAGTCATCAGAGAGAGGCCTTTGAGGTGGTCGAGCCCAACCGCCGGCCCCTAAAACGCTAAACCACATCACCCAGCCCCGGGTCCGGGCACCGTGCTGATCACAGCGAGGTGATGGGTTTGACCCCCTCACGGGCCATTCATTCATTTAAGGAGCTGGACTCGATGATTTTTGTGGGCCGCTTCCAACTCAGAGCATTCTGAGAAACCTCCAGGGATGGTGACTCCGCCACCTCCCTGGGCCACCTCCCGACCACCAAAACAGTGGAATTTCTTTTTTCCTAATATGTAACTTTAATCTTTCCTGTCTCAGCTGAAGGACATTTCCTCTTGTCTCACTGCAGGCACAGCAGAAGAGACCGGCCCCCACCTCACTGCAGCCTCCTTTCAGGTGGTTGTGAAGAGTGATGAAGTCCCTCCTGGGCCTCCTCTTCTTGGGACTAAACAACCCCAGCTCCCTCAGCCTTTCCTCACAAGACATGTCTTTAAACCTTTCACGTGCCTTGTTGCCCTTTATTGGACTCGCTCCAGGACCTCAATGTCCTTTTAAAGTGAGGGGCCCAAAGCTGAACTCAGCACTTGAGGTGCAGCCTCAGCAATGCCAAGCACAGCAGGGGATGATCACTGCCCTGGTCCTGCTGCCCACACTACAACAGAGAGCACTCGCAGGAGAAAGGCCTCACAGATGACTCAGCTACATGAAAATCCCGATGGACTCTTGCAGTCAGCCACAGGAGACCAGGCTTTCTCCATGCTGGTGCTCACAGAATGAACTGAGAGTTTAATTTCTTCAAATTTTCTGCCTGTGCTAGGAATTAGAAGGCACTGACAGAAAGTTCGGGAAGTTCCGTGCTGGTGGTTACATTAGATGGATCAGGGTGTTTTCACTGATTCCATACTATTTCCACCCCACTGCTCTGCCTTGGGGCTTGTGTTTCTGCATCTCCCCCAGTTTGGGACCTTCAAGTTTGTGTTGTCACATCATTTCAGCATCTATATCGCTGCGCTTCACCTTCAGGGGTTCAAAGTTTCTTTTCATTTGAAAGGTTTTCTCTCAAAAATTTTCTCAAGTTTTTACCTGCCTGCTTCTCCAGGCCTCCCAGAAGGGAGGGAGACGAGAAGTAGCTTCAAGCTACATTTGTGCAGGAAAAAAAAACATCACCCTGTAATTGATAAGCATTTTTCACCACAGCCTCTTCACTGGAAGTTGGACAGATGTCAGCACAGGCACTGCAAGTGCCTCCTCATCTTTCTAGGCACAGGGCGTGAAGACACCAGTACATTTGCCCCTTAGGCAGCAGAAGGACCTTTAAGAAAAAACAATGAACAAGAACTGAAGCTTTTATGTGTCTTTTTGCCTAAACTTAAATGTACCAGCCACATTAATGCATTTATTCTTAGAACAGTCTGAAGCATAATGACTCCCCTGTGGTACAGGAAGGAGAGAAAAAAAAAAAGGGCAACCAGAGAGATTAAATCTCTTGCTCAAAGCTGAAGAGACAGCAAAGCCAGGAAATGAACTCAGATTTCCTCAGTCAAGCATCAGTGCTTTAACCATACAATCATCCTTTCTTGCAGTCGTTCTCCGCTTCTGAGCATCAACTGCATTAGCATAGATTTGATTTTTCCCTACTTTGTTCATCAAAACGACTTCACTGTTCCCACTGAAATTTCCTCCAACTAACTTTCTTCTCTATTTCCTTCCCAAAAGTAAAAGAAATTATATTACAGACTCACTTAGGGGGTGAAATGACATTACAGACTCACTAGGAGAGTCTTAAATTTCCCATTGCCTGTCTGTAGGCACTGGCAGGTGTTTCAGTGCCAACACTGGAATATCAGCTCACAAAGCAACTGAGCAGCTTCCGTGGCACATCTCTGAGGCAGGCACCCAAAGGCACAGTGGAGGAGACCAAAGAACAAAGATCAGGGAACCGGGAACAGTTGTAACCAGCACAAAGGAGGCACATAAGCTGTGTGTGCTGACCTGGAAGTGGTGGTGTAACTGATACTTTTACTATCTGGAAATGATCATGAAACAGAACTCTGAAAGAAAAGTACAGACATAAAAGAAGAAAACACCTAGAGGTATTTTAGGATAGATTTGAGAACCTCCACTATCTGTTTAGACATGTAACAGATTTTCACATGTTTATATAGGCTCTTTAGATTAGGATCCAGTCTTGAAGCAGAATTCATAGTTTTTGAAAATTAACTTCAAAAAAGGGAAGCATTACACACACAACTCCAGCTTCTGACTCAGAACACAGTGTTAACCCTCCTACTGGCAGACTGCAGACTGAGATCTTAGCTATAATCAAGTGCAGCATCTTTTCTTGCCAGTTTAATATTTGATGTCTTCAGCTTGAGGTCTTCACCTTGCATTGATTTTATATTAAATTGCTTTAAATGGGTTTTATATTACTCTGGGAGAATGGACTAGAAGCTTACTATCCCCTTCACTCACTAGCATTGTGCTTCTTCCAAAACCCAGAGACAGAGCAGTGGGTAACACCAACCCCCAACCACACCAGCTGCACTGCTGGATGTGCAGTCAGTGATGTTCACACAAATATTCTCCCAGCCCCAGCAGTTCACAGGCCAGGGACTCCACTCTAGTGGAAAAGGAAAGGATTGTTCAAATCTGACCGTGTAACAGAGTTCTGTACTGTACAAAATCTGAACTTGGTATTTCTCATCCCCTGCACTGCAATGAAGCTGAGTTAGTCTGCCAGAGTTAAGATCATCTGCAAACAAGGACAGCCTTCTTCCTCACATCAAGTCATAAAAATCATCTTTGCCATGGTGCCCGTAAAAAAATCCTTGCTCGGTAGCTCATATGCTGTGACTGCTGCAAACTAACCTGTTCACAATAAATTCACTTTCACTTTGTGCATGCACTTTCTCTTACTGCTTTCAAACATGTTCTCCTTATACTCTGATTTTACATTATCTGACAGATGAACTGTATTTCCTCTGTTTGCATTCTTTCTAGTTCAAGAGGGCTAAGCAGCCAGGTGACACCACCTCTTTACTATTATTAAAGTAATAATTTATCCATTGTGGGCATTTTACTTTTACAAAATACTGTATCATGGATCCTTACTTACTCACAAGCATTCAAAACCAGAAAAATAAAGGTTGGAATGAGAGAGAATATACTCCTTGGAGGTCCAGGTGGACTTTTGATTAAATATATGACAGTACATGAAGTTCGTTAGGGGTTGAAATTGTTCATTTCAAAATGCCTCACAATTCTGCAAAATTTATTCATCGACAGGTATCAAAAAATGAATTGTCAGCTGCCTTCTTAATCTTGTCTCTACCAATAACTCTTTCATTAAGGAATACATCCTTTATATTTTCCAAGTTTTATTTTGACACTAAGGACTCACTGTCTCCAGACTTACCTATTTAGTTTTCAACTTCTTGTACTTTTTAAACTACTCATGAAACTTCATTTTTGTACTACCTTAAAATTCTCTACTAAAACTAATATTTCAAGTTGATGAACTTGTTTGCTGAGATAATAAAAAAGGAAAACAATGGGCTAATGTCACATGCAGAAATACTCACGTGTGTTCAGACGTGTGTATGTAGTATTTACATGCATGGTGTCCAAAGGTAACTAAACTTTGTGCCATTCTGCAATAAATAATTGTATAAGAATAAAATAATCAATAGGAAATTCCGCTTGGTGCAAGTTGAGGTCTTTTTAGTGGTTCCCCATCACTGCATCTTCTTTTGTGTTCGTATGGGAAAACAGAGAGATGAGCTCAAACTCATTTGGCTGAAATACACATTCACCTTGTCGCATTTAAGTCATTTATTTTTCTTAGCCTTGAAAAATAATCCAAATTAGGTACTTGAACATTTTATATCTTTTCAGGCCTTAGTGCTATCAACCACTTGCTAAATATTTAGGTAATATCTGAAGAGGGTACTATTTAAATGAAGAATTGTTCGTTGCCAGTTGACAGCTGCTTTGTTATTTAAATAATTGGCTCAGATATCTACCTTGGATGTGCAAAGGCAGTGTTGCTATATCCGTGGGCTTGGTGAGTGAATGATGAACTGAGCCTCCTTATCCTTCTCACGCTGGGAAAAACAGGGAATTTACGCCGGCCTAAACTGCTTTTGTTCTTCGATCTGCCATTGAAACCTTGGGCAATCTTTACACCCTGCTGCCACTGTGCCCTTTCTTCTGGGGCTGACCATGAGTGATGTTTCAAAACACTAAGTTAGTCTAACTAATTTAGACCTACTTAGATCTAAATTCTGTAAACAGAGTAGTCAAACTATTTTAGAAGTCTAGTTAAAGCTGCTTCTAAAATACAGTCATTTTTTTCTCTCCTTGTCTTCAGTGACCACATTCCAACCGTACACAGCACCTTTACAAACAAAGAAATGCCTGTCTAGGCAGTGAGTAAAATCATGTTGCACATTTCTAACATCCAAATGCTCTTTCATTTATTTTTAAAGAAGATAATGCTTCTTGGTCTCTAACTGTTAAAACAAATTAGTGCATTATATACTCCATGTAAGTCTGATAAGGTTTCTTCTTTATGTGTCATTGCAACTTAATTTACATTCACATAGGCTGAAGGGCCAAAAGAATACAGGTACGTAACATTTCCATTATTCTGTGGGATTTTTGAGGATTCTGAAATGTGACTAAAACCTCTTGTTTCAGCTTG